TTTTGATTATAATCGATTTTTAATCCTGTTTTAATCGATTGTAATCTGATTATTCCCCTAATTTTTTTACATGGGTTCAATAGCGATGAACGCGTCTTATATGAGAAAAAACATATACTGAAGCTTGAACTAATAGAGCTACATAGTACAGAGACGCTGTTTGAAAAACTCTATGAAAAACAAAGTATAAACGTAGAAAAAAAGCTTGACTAAAACAACAAGTAGTTTTGAAGAGCATTATAAAGATATTTAAGCAATCTTAATTTTCTGTAAAAACGACGACTAATTACATAGATCCATATGTCACATTCAACCACTGTCTATTACTTTTAGCCAACTGATATATTAATCTAATGACTTTTTTTATCGATTTTACGATTATACCTTGGTTTAAAAAGAATCATTCTTCTTGTTATCACAGTGATTCTTCATATAGCGATGAGGATAAAAAGCACAGATCACTTATCCAACAGTAGTAGGGAACGAGAGAGGAGGAATGAAACATGATGATATCATATATGTACAGAGAATATAATGAATGCAATCTACCGCGAGAAGACAGAGAGAGAGAATATATTTATACGAGGCGTGCAAAACAGAATGACAAATAAAGCACAGCAGAGAACAGAAAAATAATGATTTTCATATATATATATATATATACGACGAAAGATGACGTCCTGAAAAATACTAACGGATTGCAGCAAGAATCGAACGTACTGAATGCTCTCATATGAGAGACAGTTAAAACAGGATGTATACATACTCTTAATTTTTACCTGCGTCTAAATAATGGATAATTGATTTGTAGTGAGGAATATATGCTTAATCTGCTTTATTTATTCATTATCTATATTTTTATACGTTCGAGAATAGACCATATGTTTGAGTAACTGTCAATCGTATTTGAGAATCGTATACAGAAAACGATGAGAGCTGAAATTTCCAGAAAATTTAGAAATGAAGCAAAACGCTGTACAGATCTTACTATCAAAAATATTTGCTTGTTCTTTTTGTTCAAAAGTGAAACAATTTAGCACAAGCGTATGATGACCACTAACAGTGAAAGATTAACCAAAGGCCAAGAATTTCAAACGCTTTAGTATATAAATCAACGGCCTACTAAAACAAAAAACATATCAACTTAGCATCTTGTCCTACATCCTACATGTCCCAATATACAATGACTATATTTCAATTCAAACAGTATTATATAATAAACGATTGAGGCTAACACCACTCGTTATATACAAATAACCACATTGTATCATCTTCTCTACTTCATTCCTTCTTTTCTATTCCTTCTTCTAGTATATTATCCATCAATACATTGACTCTTCTTTCTTCCTCTTAAGCCAAAGACATTCATCTTCGTATTCACCATTCATAAAGAAATTCATCTGTTGTTTTCTTCTCCCATCTTCTAATATTAACTTTGTTCTTCGAAATAAAATTTATTTCTTCTCCCATTCCACCCATAAAGATATACTTTCATTGTATTTCACTGACCGCTTTTATTAATTTTATATTTTACACGTCACTATCAATGATTTTGTCTACATATTTCGGCACATTTCAGATAGGTACAAAAGACTACAACATTAATCATAGTATACATTTGTACACTATTCTAATATCCTTCTCCCTTCTTAGTATGACCATTTTTCTACCTCAATTACGACGAATCAAATGAAACATCCTCAAGTTCACACAACAAACATTCACGTAACATTTCTACTCGCAGACTTCCGAACTAATCCATTAACAAGAACCACCACGAAAATACGACGTAATATTCAACATTAGTCAGATGAAACCAGACATACTGAATAATTTTCAATATAACAAGACCCGTTCAAAACACTGACACTCGTATACCTGTGCAGTGAAACACACGGTGTTCGAACGTAACAGACATTATAACTCAAAAAAGTAAGTTACTTCCTTGCTTCTAATCTTCAATTATAGACACATATTTTCAAAAACACATTCATTCATACAAATGTTAAAACTTGAAAGAAAAAAAAGTAAACCTCTGATGTCTGGTTTCTCATCGTAATATCGAACTATAGCAGTATATATATTGGATATACATACTCTATTGATACATATGTTAAAATTTTAAAGAAATAAAAGTAACTTTCTGATGTCTGGTTTCTTGCTAGAAGCTTGACGTTTACAGAGAGTAGATTTCTGTTTTATTCATGAAAAATCAGAAATCAGAATTCAGACAATTAATGAAAACTGGTAATAATTTAAGAATTCCCATGACCTCGTGTGGATGTAAGTCTGGGTGACTATCTACTCTTGACAGTAAGACCTACATCCACCGCACCCCATCCACTCCACATCCACACCCCACTTCGTTAATTTATCTTTTAACACAACTTTTGGCGTTAATTTTAACGTTCGCTTCGTTAAATATACTTTTTATTTTTATATGGGTAGCGTGTGAGCCTAATTTTTGTACAACGGTCTTTTTGAGATATCGATTATTTTCGATGACAGAAATTCGAAGTTTCACATGGTATTTCAGTCGAGATACACATGGAAAGTTCTCATTTTTTGAAGCGATGATGTCAAGAATATAAAGTGAGAAATATTTAATAGAACGCAAGTGAAGATATTGACACCGAATCGACATCATTCACTTTCCGATGTTCAGTTGCAGCTTTCATTGGTATATAAGAAGCTCACAAAAAGGCAAATTTTGTGGGCTTTGCTAATATTTCAACATTCAAAATAATTCAAAAAGAAGAGCAGCTCAATAAGTTAGGTGCCACTATCTTTTTTGTGTGTTACAGAAATATTCAAATAAAAAGAATTTCAAATTTAGCTGTTAAAAGAACTGATTTTGTGGAACTCACATGTATTTACGAAGAAAAGCTTGTTAGCGCAGCCCCTTTGGGACTGAAATGTGGAATTCACCTATGTTCTTCAGCTTCATTATATTAATACGAAATACAGAAGGTGCAAAATAAAGAATTTTTTATTTTTCGGTTTCTGACGGGCGCCCTATTTTTTATTTTCATTGTTACTAGTCGTTCATGATTTTTTTGATTTTTTTCAAAATTCGTTTTTCTTAATTTATCATTCTTATTATTATAATCATTGAACTGATTGACAAATAAGTGTGTTTTACATATCTATAATATCTACAGCAGATCTTACACACTATGATATACATTAATCAAGTCACAAATAATGAATATTCATTATTTTTCAAAATAATAACTTGATCAATTTTCCAAAAAAAAAACTAGAAAATCTAACATCTTTTATATTGATTTCTAAGGTCCGTAATGAGGGGTGGGAGGGGGAGGGAGGAGCCGCAAAAACTCGAACTTAAAACTTACACTCACTATTTTCTTCGAAAATATATGTGAGTTCCACAAAATATAAGCAAACCCACTTTCGCTTATCCGTCCATTGGGCTCCTTGAGACACAAATAGATAGGTCCTACTACTTTAGTAATTTTCCGAGAGACAATACCGTGGCGATGTTTGAAGATAGTGATTCAATGTTTGAAGGCCGAAAATTCATGAAGTGACTTTTCTTGTGCTCTTTGTAGAGCCCAACGTTTGAAATCGAGGTCGTGTATAGGAAGACAACTTTCACGAGCTGCTTCAAATCTCTCGTATACGAATGTCTCGATATGGTCTACTTTCTGCTTCTTTGTACCATGACTTTCCACATATTTTCGAAAGTGTCTCAGATACCGCCTATGAGAGACCCGTCTGAATCGATGCTGGACACTCTTCTACGTATGTTTTCGTTTTTCATTTGTTTCGTCGATTTCATCGTAGAAGTCAACGACGTTTGTCATGTATTTGAGAGAGAATTTTTGCAGTAAAGTATCGTCTCCGATTAGGAGTATCGGCTTAGCATTAGTGCTAAGAAAACTCTAACACAAAAGCATTAAAAATAGTATTAATTAATGCAATGCTAATGCTAATCTGACACCCCTATCTCCGATCTCATCCTCACCTTCAGCATCATAGAAAGTAGGATGATTTTCTTCATCCGCTTCGGTGTCATAATTTTCGTCCTCGTGCGCATCGTCAAACACAGCATCGTAGTCGAGTGTAGTCACATTTTCTACTTCTCACGACGAACTCGTCAGAACATTATCGAGTATTTCGTACAAATGATCGACAAGTTTTTTTTCACCAGTGTCATCTGAAAGACGATAAGAATCTTTCTTCACAACACGATCGGCTGGGATGACCGTTTCAGACGCAGCGTTTATCATTTCACTTTCGAAAGAGTATACGAACAAATGCATAGAGCCTAGCGGAATCGCGTATCATTCTTTACACTCTTTCTTATTGCGATAACACGGCAGAAACAAAAGACAGAAAGCCTACGTGACTGTAGGTGGCATCGTAATAGAAAAAAATGTCGTTATTCAAATCAGAAGAGTTATAAAAAAATTTTAAAAATCAGCCTATCCATTATATGCTTCTGTATGAATAATGACATGGCTGTAACTTTTGATCACAGGCCCATGGACACGAATCTTTTTGGGCTGTTGCTAGTCATATTGAGGTCTACTTTGGTCAAAGTATGAGCTCTAAATTGATGGGAAACTTCAGGTACCTCCCTCGTAAGTTTTTTCAAGCTGAAAAAAATACTTCATCATCGTTTGTTTGCTCTAAAAAGTGAAAAAAAGGTATTTATGTATAGTGTTTTAATATGCAGTATGAATCATTCATTTTGCCTACTCATGTTTCTTCTTCTCTCTACTCACCTTCTAGCATATTTATTCTTGCACCATTCTTGCATCATTACTATTGAGCCAGTCTCTCTCTTCATATGCTTATTATATAGGGCGTAACTTGCGTTCCTCCTCATTCGCATCCCAACATCTTGTCAGAACGTTTGACTTGAAGCAGAATACACTGAGAAGTAGGCATTACTCTCAGAACGTTGCACAATTCATTGTTTTCAACTTGATTATTTTTGTCATTTCTGTCGAATACTATCATGATCAGATTGAATGTCACATATGAATCAACAACGTGATATTCTTCACGACAGCTATGGATCACATACACCATCGTCTCCATTACCTCCAGTTCCTCCATTTCCATGTGTCATCAATAGTTCATGTACCACTGACAATCGTGTATGCGAGCGACATAAATATGTGATATTTGTAAAAAATATAAATGGTGAAACATTCGAAAATCCATATGGTAAATGGGAAAACTGGGTGTGGTATAAACAGCGCATTAGTGATCTTACGGGAATCCCAGTGAATGAAATTGAAATAGTATATGCTGGAGCCAAAAGAGATGGTTTAATCAGACATAGCGGATTGTGCAGTCAAAGCACTATACATATGCTTCAATGTCCACCTCTTCATCGCCTCACTACTAATGAAAAAATTCAAAGGACATGTAATACACCAAAGGGCATAATGCAGGACCATTACCTAATATCTTTTCTCCGTAGCAAAATAAAAGGAAGTTATCTTAACACTTTTTAAGCATCTTTAAGCATCGAAAATAAAGGAATGGCTTCTCAAAGCCTTTCTTCTTCTAAAACCACTGGATAAAATAAATCTTAAGAACTGAAGTAGAGAATAAGGGTGAAGGTATCCGAGAGCTACCACGGCGCGTTTCGATCTTGCTTAAGGGTCTCATCAGGCGGCTTCAATCTCCAAGTCGAGTCAAGTATCAAAAGACGAACAACCAATTCGAGATCAATTATACTGTTCTACTAATGTCAACAAAATAAGATTTTTACTCTAATGATAAAATAGATGGATAGCTCATTCCGTTATAATCATCTTGGGCGAAGAAAAAACGGAATTTGAACCTCAGAAAGTACACAGGTAGATAGAAAGAACAAGGCGGATATATATGTCATCTACGAAACACGGAACAGACAAGAGACAAATAATAAGAAAAAGAAACAAAGAGAAAGAAGAAAAAACCATCAAAAGACACAAACAAAAAGGGCTAGAATAAAGACGCGGGACATTTACAAATACAAACGAGAAGACACGACAGAATACACTAAAATTAATAACGAAAAAAACAGAGTTACTTTGAATCATGAAATAGAGAGGTATGTCTCATAGTAAGACGACTGCTACGCAGTCCATCAGTCTACTACGTTTAGACCACAAGCAGATTCATTTTCAGTGACAGTCATCATAAAGCACATTAGCCTAAAGCTCCAATCTCAGGTCATCAAATCTAAACTTCTTGTTCTGTTAGCCATAACTTAGTACATGATTTATTATGCACTGTGACTGCTTGTGGTTCTGAAAGTTTGTGAAGCATTTTATTCGGACATATATATCTACTTTTATCGCTTTTTATTAGTAAGTCTACTATCTTTCTCTTTTATGAAGTAGAATTATGAGTTGTTGATGATGGAGAAGTTTGTAGATCGCTTTCGTATGCAGTTTCTTTTATTTAATTTTCATATCTCATTTATTTTTTAAAAGTCGTCCACATAGTAATGGAGTGTGGTATGGGTGTGAATGTAGATAAAGAGAACACCAATATCGGTATCAAGACTCACACCCTCAAGATTAAACTGATATTCTAATTTATAGATGAATCGTAAATGCAGATTAGAGCAAAAACAAAGTTTTTGTCTAGTGGTCTATAAACTGTCGGATGCTCGTCTGATCTCAATAGACACACTTTCTTTTTTTTCTGTTATTGTTGAGGAAAATGATGTTATTGTCAAGAAGTTTTTTCAATCGGAAAAGACACTCAGTTTTGACAAAGGGGAAAATGAAAATAATAGAATCAAGAGTATCATCATCATGATGATTGTCTACAAAAGATATTAGCTAAGAAAAATTCGTTTTCAGAATAGGCTTTTGTTTTGTTGTTACCTTGAAACTCTTGTATGAGAATCTTATCTCTTAGACTAGTTGATGGCTGACCATATTCATTGTTAAAATTTTGTGAAGGAATCGAAAATGTAGTTGAGAAACAGGGAAAAGTCGATCGAAATCAGCAAAGATTTTCAAATAGAGGAAAATAAATCATTGAATGGATAATCATCCTCATCACTATTATGGGTTTGGAGTGTGGGTGTGAGGTGTGCGTGTAGGTGTGGATGTGGCGGTTGGCGTACATGACACGAGTATCCACACTTCATCCACACCTGCCCACACCGATACCCCACCCCATATTCACACGCACCTACACCCACATCCTGATGGTTGCAGTTGCTGCTGTATCGGATAATCTTGTTGAGGATGACTTGCTTGGCGCATCCCTCGCATTCCATTAGCCATCATGATCAGCGGAAGATACAGAGAACATAGTAAACAACATTCAACCGATATAATTAGATCTAACATCGAGAGTATTATTGTTAGTACAGTGTGCGTTCAATTATTGGCGTTGAATTTGTCCTGTTGCTTGAGCATATTTTTATTTCGGCATGGTTGTTGTCTACGTGCACTTTGAATTTTTGTTCTCAAAATGATGTTAACGGATCAGCTTCTCTTTGGACGAATATTAGGCAGAAAATGATAGCACCGAATATTTGTAGCATGATCTTTTGTGATGATAGATGGGTGCGGGCGTGGAGTGTGGTTGCAGTAACCCCGAAAGGAAAAACGAACACCCATACCCACGCCCACATTCACCCGACACCTACACCCTCGAGTTTTTCTTGCTGATATTCGCTGCGAGTCTCAGGTTGAGTCTCTAACTGGCTGGGCTATATAGAGTTCAATTCTGCACCAAATGATGGTATTCTCCAGGGTTCATTGGACTCAAAAGAACTGAGTTATTGTCGTGCTCCCACTTTCAAGGCAGGTGATTCCATGTTTTTAGAATGATTTTTGCGTTTCCCACTCCTACAATGCTACTGCAAAGTGACCACCCTCACCCACTCTCAGCAGGATACGCAGGTCAGCATAGGCAGTTTATTCAAAAAAAAACCTTAAAATAACCGAATGAATTACATTTTCTGCCGAGATTTTCTCGAAACGTCATATAGCATACTTCCGTGTCCATTGACGTGCAATTTTATTATATTTATCACGATCGAATCGATAAAGATGTGCGGCTTCAGTATTGGCTGGATCATCGGTATTTGGATCGTCCAACAGTGAACAAATTGATAATAATAGCTTGGAGATTGTGAGAGTGCGTTGATTCCCGTGAATTTCCATGCATATATTACCACTTGGAAATACATTTGGATGAAATATTTTCGTGGTAAATTTAATCTTTGCCTGTTTAATTGGATAGTCTGCTGGAAAGTTTATATCAAGAAAGAAAACGCCTCCTTGATAAGGAGTGCCAGGAGGACCCAATATTGTAGCTTGCCAACGAAACATATCGTCAGGATAATATGGTCCTGCATTAACATACTCTGGTGTATCTTCTTTTATATCTTTCAGTTCTTTCATAATGCGTGCTAAGGCCATTGGTGTTATACCTAAATGAGATTCGAAAGGTAATTTCTACTAAAAAATTTATTATTATGGGCTCAGTAGAAATCGATTTTAGCTTACGTTAGTCGTATCTTGCTGAATTGGATGTCGACTCAAAGCTTCTCATGTAAAAAATTGGATAAATTTAACGATTTAACAAAATCGAATACTACTTTTTTTGACCATGAAAACGCGTGAACAATACATTTTATAGTGAAGTCTTACGCATTATTTCTCGTTCAAATTAAATCAGCCTAAAATAACTTGTCAGACTTCATTAAAAAGCATATTTTTAAAAGCGTTTTCATGGTCAAAAACGTAGCATTATATTTTGTTAAATCATTTAATTTATATAAACTTTTACATGAGTTGCAGCATCTCTATTTATGTTCCGTAGGGACGATAAAATTACGGATCAATTTTCTATCTGTTGTGTAACTATTAGTGTGTAAATAGAGAACAGTGGTCAGATTTAGCTCAGCTAACTTCTTATTTGTTAGTGATAATGATCTGCCGAAGGTTGAATCACAATCAAAGAGCACATGTTGTTGAAGATATTTCTTGCTACTGGTAATAATAGGTTTTGCGTTCGTTTTGTCATAGCCCGAAAGAAAACTTTGGTGTCTAATAATAAGCATAAGATACTAAGTTTCGATCAGACTAACTTGTATCCTGATAAAATACTATCAAAACACCTCACAAAATACCAGCTTCTTGTGCGCATTTTGAAAGATGAAGACAGCGTTAGTTGTTTTTTACTCCTTGACGACAATTTTCTTTTAAGCGAGCGAAAAAAGTAAAGCGATGAAGTGAAATTCTATGTTCTTTTGCTGAAGTGTTAAAGAAATAATAAACCAAAGAAAGTAATTGAAATATAGTGTTTATGCAAAATCAAGAAGAATATATAAAACTTTCAAAATTCATTGTAAAAAAAATTAAATTTTCTTAATTGTTATGAATTTTCAGAGAAACTGGCGTCATACTGAACCTTAGAAGTTTCTAGATGTGGATGTCATATTCAGAGCCTTTTTAGGTTCGAGCTACAGTCCTGTGCATAATTATAAGACCACTAGTTTTAGCGCTTAGAAGAATCAGATAAAGCTAATTCTTTACATTTAAAGAGACTAATGCATCAGTATGTAGTTGGTAAATTTTCAGGAGTTTATTGGTTGTGGGTGTGGGTGTGGGAGTCACTGAAAAGAGGACCTACACCCACACCCACACCCTTCGTTTTAACCAATCTACGATTTCTTTTATTTCTATTAATATTATTTGTAATAAAATCCTTAATCTACTTCTTTGAAACACTGCATAGAGGGGCATTTTTGCTGTTCAGATTCAGACCTTACTATGTCGAAACGAATTTAAGACTCAGCAAATTGGTTCATGAGTAGGAAGAAAACTATAATGAAATAGAGAAAACCAACAATAACATAATAGACTAAAGAGGTCTTAATGGGTGCGGAAGTCGTTGACTGTGAGTCGTTGTTGGTCTTCTTTCGATCCACATCCACCCTGAGTTTGCTTCAATATGATAATCGACAGCTCTCAAAATCATTAAATGAAGAAAACCATGAGAAAGGTTAATTTTCTAATTAAATTCTCCCTACGAAATGGGCTAGATTTTTCAGGATAAATGAATAAAAAGGTAGAAATTACACTATATTTTCCCATGTCTCACAAAACAAGTGGACGAGGTAGGACCAGTTATTAGAAAAAAAAGAACACGAAACGAAGTTATTCGATTGTTCTTCTTATTAAATATGCAGTGACTTTCAGAATAAATCAGTGATACAAGAGAAAAATCAAGCAAAACTAACATTTAAGGTTTTCTCAGAAAAACGACGAGCACTTCTCAGAGTAACCCACTGAGGAAAAAGAAAAAGAAAGCGTATTTTTTTCCATTCTGTTGCTTTTGTTAACCTCCGACAATTATCGGAATAACTAGAAATAAAAAGAAATAAAGTAACGTAGCTTTCTTCATTTTAATGTTAGTTTTTCTCAGAAGAATGCCGAGTGGAATTCTGAATAGCGAATAGAAGAAAATAAAAAGAAAACGTTGCTTTTCATCA